ACGGCGACCTACTTACCACTGGCTATCGTGCAGGTCACGGGTTCAACTCTAGGGAACTGTGCAGATACTGTACACAAGTAAGCTGAGGTCAAGGGATCGACCCCTGGGATCTGCATCGGCTACTGCCAAAGGTGAAAACTGTTTCATGGGGTTTAGAAATGATCTTACGAATTCAGCCTTCTGATGTTTAGAAAATGAGAAATGCTTTACCACGCCGCAGCGACGCTGCGGCTTAGGAGAGCGGCGAACAGGCGGACGTTGTTGTGAGAGTGTCGGGGTCATTTTTTGTTTTTCTTTTTGTCACAGTTCTCTTTCTCTTTCTGGCTGTGTCTCTCCCGCTTTCTGTCTCACAGATACAGACATATGTGGCAAAGATGAGCGTGGCAGAGGAGACACACACAAAGACATATCTTTCTTGCCGTCTTTGCACTTCTTTCTCTGTTTGTCTCTTTCTTTCTGTCGCCTTCTGTCTCAGAGTAGCATCTACCCCAGCACCCGCTGTGCTCATTGCTTGTGTTCAGGTCTGTGTGTCGTTGCGCCCGTGTCTCTCGTGCTGTTTTTTGAACCGCGGCGGCCGATGCAGAATTGTCCAGCATGTTGATGGCGTTGTTGTAGATTGCAGAGGCAGTGGACGTTGAATTCTCTATGAATGTGAGCACGAGCGTCGTCTTTTGATGGTGCCACGAGTGTCGGAGCTGTTGTTTGTTGATGGAGAGGGCTCGAACAATTACAGATTGCAGCAGTATCAGGAGGGAGGCGGTGGGGGCTGCACTTGGGGGGGAGGGGTTGTTGTGCAGCTTTCGCGTTTCTTTCTCCGTTTTTCTGTTTGTCTCTGTGCCCATCTGTCTCACAGCAGCATCCATTCCAGCAGCTCGTTTTCTTGTTGCTTGTGTTCATGTGTGCGTGTCGTTGCGCCTATGTCTCTCCTGCTGTTTTTTGAACCGTGGCGATGTTGTTTGTTGTAGATTGCAGAGGCAGCCGATGTCGAATTCTCTATGAATGTGAGCACGAGCCTTGTCTTTTGATGGTGCCATGAGTGTTGGAGCAATTGCAGATTGCAGTAGTATTAGGAGTGAGGCGGCGGGGGCTGCACTTGGAGGTATGAGATGGCACGACGAATGTTTCTTGCTCTGTATGTAGAGAAGGGGGGGAGGGGTTGTTGTGCAGCTTGGTGGTGGAGAAGGATGAGGTAGTTGAGATATTCCCATGTGCGTGGTGCGTGGTGCGTGGTGCGTGGTGCGTGGAGCGTGGGGTATTGTATAGATGGCGAGCGTATGTTGTGCCATGAGGACATCGTGAACAATTGCAGTGGCGTGTGTGGGTCCCCAAGGTTGGAGAGGATGCCACCGTGATGGGTCTATTTCATGGATGAAGTGTGGGTGCAAGTATGGGCGTTGTGGTGGTGGTGATGAATCAATGAAAGAACACGAGTGATGTGCTGTAGAAATGCGTCCGTATTGGTACTGGGGGCGTGAAATGGTCGGTGATGTGATTGTAGTCTTCGTTAAGGATTGTGAGGAGGAATGTCTTGTCTTGAGAGAAGCGTATATTGGGGTTGGGAGAAGGAGGCGGACGGCGGGCGAATTGTGTGCGATTTTGTTTGTAGAGAGTGAAGTATTCGTAAATGTGAGACGAATATGCGGCATGGTCAGTCTTTAGAAAATCCTCCCAAAGAATCTGATCAATCATGCGGTGGATATTGTGGATTGTCACGAATTCTTGTCATTGATCCCATCGGGGAATAGGTATTTGTGCGAGGATGTCATCATCCAATCCGAGGTGTGAGAGGTCAGAAGTTTGGGGTTGAGTAAATAGAATATCTGAGAATGTGGAAACGTGTTGGGTGACATCAGCAGATGCGGTGGATAAGAGTATGAGGCCTCGAGTTGAAACAGGAGACTCAGCAGATGTGTCGGTGTGTGGTTGATTGGATAATGCGGAGGTTGCAGTGCATGGAAGAGAAGAGGAGAGGGTTGTTTGTGGATCAGTGCATGGAAGGGAAGAGGAGAGGGTTGTTTGTGGATGAGATGCAGTAGTGGAAGATGTTGATCTTGCTATCTTAGCGGGAGTTTGTTGCTGGGAAGTACCGACATGAAGTGAAGTGCCACAAAAGAGAACCAAAACTAAGAGTTAATACATTTTATGACAGGATTTCTTTGTAGACGACATTTGTTGTTTATATTTTATGACCGGATTTCTTTGTAGACGACATTTGTTGTTTGAGGGGTGGTAGTGGGGAGTAGGAATTGTATGTGTGCAGGATTGCCAACGCGCGATGCTGCAACATAGAGTTGGTCGTGCGCAAAGGCAGGTTGTTGGAGATCAACACCTGCATGTTTGATCGATTGGCCTTGGGATTTGTTCACAGTTATTGCAAATGCAGGGCGAATCGGGAATTGACGGCGTTGCCAAGGGAAAGGCGTGGTTTGGTCAACAATAGAAAGAAGAATTCGTGGGAGAAGCATGGGGCGAAGAGAAGGAAGTGTGCGAGCGTGGAGTAGTCTGTTATTTGTTATGGAGTCGACTATGAGACGTGTGTCGTTGCATAAACTATTTTGGATTGCAATATTCCGAAAAAGAATAGGAGGTGCACTTTTTTTAATGCGTAATAAGTGTGGTGGCAAGGAAGGGATGTCAATTGTGTTTAGAGTATCAATGGGAATGTCGGGGTATTCTTCGTTTTGGAGAAGTGAATCAGCACTGAGAGATGTAAGGAAAGGACCAAGAAATTGATCGAGGATAATGGAGTTGATTGCGGATACACTTTTGTTCTTTGGTGATAGGATGAGACGTTCTGCAAGCCATTCAGGGTTTGTAGAATTGGATTGTAGTTGCGGGAAAGTCCACGTCATGAGGTCTGTTATTGATCCGTGTAGACATAGGTAAGGTGGAAGGTCAATTGTTGTAGAATATGTTTGTGGCGGGGGTTGCACTTCTCCATTCCCGAGTGCGAGGAGCAATTGTGCATATTCATGCCCTTCGGGAGTGTCAATTTGAGTCAGAGCGCGCATGTTTTCAGAAAGACGGAAAGTTTGGAAATGCTGCCACAAATATGATGATTTGATGCATGCGTCGACGATTTGCGCACGTGTTCCTTTCAGGATGACGTGCAAAATCTGTCGGAAGTCTCCACCCAGAATTGCAATTTTATTGCCGAAAGGGAGATTTGAAGAGCAAATGTCTTGGAGTGTACGGTCGAGTGCTTCAAAGTGAAATTTGTGTGTCATAGGTGCCTCATCCCATAGAACAACCGCAGTCATTCGGATAAGATCCGCGAGCGGTGATTGTTTCGTTATGTCGAGTGTTGACGTCGCACTCGGCGTGAGCGGTGCTTTGAAGCGAGAGTGGTATGTGCGGCCGCGGTCAAGGAGTGTTGAAGCAATGCCGCTTGATGCAACCGCGAGCGCCACTCGGTTCTGGCGTCGGACGTGGGCAAGGATTGTGTTGAATAAAAATGTTTTTCCTGTGCCGGCTGGAGCATCAACGAAAATGCAAAGCGGTTCATCGTGATCAAGGGCGTTGACAACGCATTGAAAAATCGCATGTTGAGATGGCCGAAGGAGTATCCTGATCGTGGGAGATCTCATCGTCAATAACTCGGGGGATGTTTTGTCTACGTGGTCTTTTAGCGAGATCGTTCGCCGCGTCTCGGTCAGTGGGTAATGGAGGCACGATACCAATTCTTCAAGTGTTTTGCCCTTTTTTTGCAGGCGATCTTTGATATTAAGGAGGAGGAGTGTTTTAAGTAGAGAAGCAGGAACATTAGCACCTCGCAAGTCCCGGTTGAAATCATTTGTCATTTGTTCCCAATGTGTTTCAAATAAGGCATTGGGATCAACTAGTCCGCAGTGGAGGACAATGTGCACGAAGAGGTCACGGACCATAGGTGATGACGAAATGAATATCGCGTCTTGAAGCACCGCGGCGTCGAATTTTGTATTATCATTCAGTAGACCAAGTGCTTGACATACCAA